GATGGGACTATCACGATGATAGTGGATGGGTCCTTCTGGCTACAATACGGGGGCGGGGGGGAGGGAGTGGTTATGTAGTGGTGGCGAGGGACAGGACGCTGATCACTTCAGCTAGGAAGTGTGCAGCCCTTGAGTCAAAACAATCTGAGATGCTGGCGGTTAAGGAAGCATTAGCTCTTGCAAATAGATACGGATGGTCATCAGTTCAAGTTCTGACAGATTGTGCTAGGGTTGTAAAAATGTTACGAGGTAGGGAAGTGGTGCCAGTTTGGTATGCTGGTCTATTAGATGAAATAAGGTCTTTAGGACGGAATTTATCTTTTTGTAATATGTCCAAGGTCGGTAGATCTAGTGCCGAACTAGCACATAAGTTGGTACGTACTATATCGTTCATGTAACCTTTATCGAATTAGTAAAATTTTATTTAAAAAAAAAAACAATGAACCGGTAATAATACTGATGAAGAAAAGCTAGTTGGATGAAGGGTTTCCTGTCTCCAGGTAAACCGAAACAAAGCACTATGGGGTTATCAACAAAGTGAGGCGACGCTATATATGAATTTGTAAGGTTTTAGTCACCCTTTCCAAATCAGAATAAGACAGTTCTCAAAATTGAAGCAAATCCGAATGGCATTTGTGTTCAAAAAACGCGAATTACTAACAACCTTTAGGCCGCTACAAGCAATTTCCTTTTTTTTAAAAAAAAAATTTAATTTTGTAGATAAAAAACAATTAAATCCTTCGAATGTGGCAGTAAAACTAGGGACAATGTATTTATGTTTTATTCATAAACATTATTTAATAAACTAGGGACGATGTATTTACATTTTAACTAGGGAAAAAAAGTACTCCAAATCCGGTAACCAAAATTTGAAAATGATCTTTAGAAAATAAGTACTCTTTTTTTCGGTGTGATGAAAGAGGTATGATATATTGTATATCTGGTGTGTGAGTAGTCCTAAACATCATTGCTGAATGATGATGTACTTTGCGATAGTTTTGGATTCATTTTGTACTGAATAAACTCAAACAGGAATGAATAAAATGTGTTTTTTCCGGCCTTATTATAACGTATTTTGATTTTTTTGAGCTTTTACCTAGTACGCATTTTTTATTGATAAAAAAAATCTTAAAAATCTTTCATAACAAACACAAAGAACGTAAAACATATTGTTAAGGTTTTTTTGTCAATAAAAAATACGTATTAAGTGAAACTTAGGACAAGTCAAAATGTCTTATATTAAGGACTGTAAGGAGTATTATAGTATTAAACGTACCTTCAAAGTTTTAAAAAAATGAAATTATTCGGTAAAATCCCGCGATATGCTAAAGCAAATCCTTAAAAATTGTTCATCCAATTTTTTTTTTTTTTATGTGATGGAAAAAATTGTTTATCCAATTATTATTAAAAATCAACACAATCTAGAGGTATCAAAAGATTATCAGTGGACTTGAAACAGATTTAACATGAAATAAATTTTATGGTTGATTAATTTTGTTTACTATAACAAAATGATCGATAGAGGTTCAACGACTTCATGATCAACCGAAAGGCAGAAACACAATGTACTTGTTATCTCCCTCTCGCTCGTAATTTTTTTTTTTTTTTTGTTAGGCTTAGGCCTCTGTTATCAAATTACATTTCTTTAAAATTCAAAATATGAAACTTGAAATTTTTTATTTTTCGTTATAAACACATATCTTTACTTTTGACGTTTGATACTAATACATAATTTTGACTACTTAGTTTAAATCATAGGAGTATTCTAAAAATGATTCCAAAGTAAATTTGGTTTCATTATTAAAACATATTACAAAAACATATTCAGATATGATGATGATGGAGGCTGAAAAAAAAAAAACTTACATGTAAGATCCCAAGTACAAATATTTGTCTCCAAAGACACGCTCACTTCGTGTGACGAGTCCAAACTGAACTCTAGGCCTATTGGACCTAGGATTAGGTTACTTGGAGATTAAGCCACCGCCTAAACTTATTCCGTTAGGGTTTCAGAAAACAAGTAACACTACCTCTATATAAACAGGTGGTGCCTCCCCTATAATACACATTTTCTACCTATCTTCTATACCTTCTACACACGATACACATCCCTCTCTCTCTATTATCTCTATTCCTTTATTGTCTTAAGCATCAGAGATTTTACCCTCGGGAGACACCTGAGGCTCTGTGGGACCGATTTTTTTGGTCCTTACAACCAAATAAATTTCTTGAAAAGAAACTAAAATTTATTGGTGCTTTGCGATGATCATCGGGTTGATTTAATGTGCAAATCCATATACGTGAAAGCAAAGATCAAGAATTAGGAAATTTTTTAAAGCTGCCAGCCGTCGACTTCTACGTCAACCTCCTCCAATCGACGATCAGGTTGACGACAGTTCCTTCGATTTCCATGTCGACGCCTTCCAGCCGACGACGAGACCGATGAAGATGCTGTAAACTTCCATGACGACCTAAACAACCCAACGAATAAGCCGACAAGGGGCAATTTTTATCTTATGGTTGATTAACCCTAATACTTTTCTAATTTTACAAATAAGCTCTCAAGTCCTTCAAAGTAAGGGGCAATTTTGAGGATTGAAGTTTTAAGAGATACATCTCCTCGAAGGGGCAAGCATCCCTCGAGCAATACACTACTACTCGAAGTGTTCGAAAAGACGGATCTCTATTTTACTACTCAAAGTGTTCGAGAAGACGATTCTCGACTTTCATAATACCTTTTCAGAATTGAGGTAACACCTTCTCGAGTAATCAATTTATCTCGAGACAGAGGTACTTCTCAAACTTTTTTTAGTATATTTCTCGAATCTAAGTCAATCTACTGCTGATATCATTATTATATTACTAACATGTCACGATATCTTTTTGAGCACGATTAAAGGAGTTCTTCAAATTACCAACCCTCTCGCGGTAAAACCCTATCCCCCTTCAACGAGGACAACGTACTCTGGGGCACAAACGAGGACATACCCTTGGGCAAGGAATTTGAGGGATCATATGTCATTATTATCTTGTATTGCATCTCAATGATCTGCACACTCGCGGTCCACCGCGCAAACAAGGATACTCGCGGTCCACCGCACAAACAAGGAACTCTTTAACAATGAGACCCCATCGAGGTATTTTACTCTCTTTATCTTATACAGGTGATACCCGAGAACGAAAGAGTTCAAGAACTGGGGAAACACCACGAAACTCAAGAAGATATCAACACTCGTAGCAACCCATATTCTTCTCATCAAGTCTCGAGAATATGACTTGTTACGGGGCCTTGATGAGTCCAAACTGAACCCTAGGCATATTGGGCCCAGGCTTAGGTTACTTGGAGATTAAGCCACTGTCTAACCCTATTCCGCTATGGTTTCAGGAAATAGATAACACCACCTCTATATAAAGAGGTGGTGCCTCTCCCATAATACACATCTTCTACCTATCTTCTACACCTTCTACACACGATACACATCCACCTTCTCTATTATCTCTATTCCTTTGTTGACTTAAGCATCGGAGAGTCTACCTTCGGGAGACACCCAAGACTTTGTCTTAGAGGTTTCAAGCCGTCCGCCACTGCATAGATCATCGCCGCCCTCTCTAAGCACTTTGCAGATCCATGCTTCGTCATCGTGCTTCCAATCGACTGTAATGATGATGACTGTCAAAAAGTTTTCGATTCAGAAGGAAAAATACAAATTAACACAAACGTGAAAAATCATCGATTTCTATGATCTATGTGTTCATACAAAACTGGAGCTCTTTTCTGTTCAAAAGGAGAATAGAGAATCATCAGTTAAATTAAACGGTCGGATGTCACGTTTTTGTAGGTAGCTCATCTTCACCCGCATAGTGTGTTTCCTACTCACGATTTTCATTCTTCTTTTGTTTTCCCTTATTTTGGTAACGAGAAGCGTTAAAAATTACATAAATGCTTTTGTCGTATAAATAAATGGCACTAATCAAGATGAAAAGTGTGTAGTTTTATGCAACGCAACAAAAACCAATAAAATCTCATATATTATTCCTTTATAATTTGAACGAGGGGAGATTACTTTTTTGTTTTTTGCCTAGGAAGAAAAATGGCGAAAGATATATATTTTTTTGAGGGGACAAAAGAAGAATTTGTTTGAGGGAAGAAATAAAAGCGTTTAATTTAATTGTAATGGGAGTAATACAAGACCAAAATTGTTTTTAGAGGAACCAAAATGGTAAAATGAAATATAAAAGTGATACTCCATCTATCTTAAGAATGGCTCATATTTTTAAGTTTGAATAACTATGACTGGTTTTTTTTCCCTAAACAAAATATGACTGATTTTTTTTGAACGAAAGAATTAATTTAAAACGCAATGTATGATTAAAATTTACATAAGCTCAAATAAACAGAAATTGAAGTATAGAAAAAAAAATAGTTTACATAAGATTTCAGAAAAATTTGGACTTATGAGATTTATCTCTCTTAATAAAATTTTAGTATAGAATCAATAAATAGACAACCCATTCTCATCAAGTTTTCATATTAATTTTTCACTTTGAAACATTTACCCATCTAATTTATAAATTTTAGTTTTTCAAATTAGACAATTTTTTTATTCTATGACAGTTTGAATTATTTTCTTATCTGGAACGATGTAGAATGAGGCGAAAACTGCGTAAGTGTTCCGGCCCTGTAAACCTGTTTTTATTCCTATCAAATCCAAAAATTACGGATAAAAGATTGTCACTTACTTTGTCTACCCATTATTCTTACACTAATTCTCTCCGATGATACTTGATCTTCATTATGGGGCAAATTTCATGTTCATGGGAATGCCATTCATACAAGCTCCTCGATCGGTAAATAAAATAGTTCAATTCAGCATATAGACAAAGAGTAATTATTCTAAAAGAGATTTGGAGGCAGAGAAACTAAATTTAATTAAACCATAATGATACAATTGTTGAAAGTTACTCATGGAAAAAGAACATGAAATTAAGAATAAGGAGTTTATCAATCAAGAACCGTTTTGCATAACTTCAATTTGAGAAACCCGGAGAATTTTTTTCAGTCAGAAATTTCAGCCCCATCCGGACCAATGTATGTTTCCCCTGGTCTAAGATAAACCGCATTGACTTCATCATCGTTGTCGACAAGATCTTCATATAAATCAGGATGTTCCAGCAAGAAGTCCACATCCGTTTCGTAATCATCAAGATCTTCAACAAACAAACCTTCTTCAACCCACTTTCTCTCCTGTTCTTTCCTTCTATCGTCTGAATCCGATGGCACAGCCGCCGGATGCTCCCGGTTCGCGTGTTTCTTCAAGTCGGAATACTTTCCAGACACTTTACACGAATCCAGAGGACAATTCCGCACCTTTTTATTCAACAATGCGCGAGCTCCCTTAACAATGGTCCATCCAGTGATTTGAGACCGGCAAAGCGGACACCGAACTTCTTGACCCTTTTCTCCGCAGGGCAAAAACTGATTTGGCTGATCTTGATTATGATTATTGCTGGGTTTTGATGGAGACACTGAAAAATACTTGCAGAATTGATCGAAACAATTTGAGAGCTGCCTGTTTGTGTCACATAAAAATGGTCGACAACCCTTTTCGTGCGATGAACAAATCAGTAGTACGGCCTGGTGAGGATGATGTAAACATATCGGACATTTTATTTCTTCCCACTGATCTTTTCTTCCCCCTTTCTTGTTGTTATCTCCAAGCCCTGAAGCCATTTCTGCTTGGTGTTTGAGTAAAGGGGATAACTTTTTATTGGAGATTTCCAGGATTTTAGGTGATTCTCTGCGAGAAACAGAACTAGGATGAGACTTCGAATTTTGAAGATTGATTAAAATTCAGTGGCTACATATAAAGGTGGAGTTTTCTCTACTCTCTTATGTTTCCTTATAGGGTTGGGATTCCTTTTCAGATTTCTTTATGCTTTTTTTTCCAGGCGGATATAACGGATTGTTTTTTTGGCCAAATAGGAAACTAAATTGTGGGGCACAATCCCCTAGGGTGTCGAAAATTAATATACAGTATTAATATTAATATATAATAATAAACATTATACTGTAATGTAAGATTTGGAGAGAGTAAACAAATCTTACCTTTGAAACAAAGAGCGGAGGAGTAGTGAAATTAAATGGGAGAGATTTCTGAAATCTTCAATTCAAAGATTTGCTACAGTTCTATTGATAAACGTATGGCGGTAATTTTGCGACTGATCTGTCATGATTTGACTTAATTTCATTTCTGTTAAAACATTAATTTATGTATGTGCATTATATATTTTTTCAGTTGAACGGGAATGCATTTATCGTGATTTACTACATACTAGAAGAAGGGTGGGAATTTGATTTTAAAAATAAAATTTTCGGCGGCCATAAAAATTTAAATTAACAGGTCTATACACGCAAATATTAAAATAATAACGAATTTTGCAACTGGGTCATAACAAAAATGGAAGGGAGCATACATATTAAATTGTTGAGTTTTTCTTTTGTAAAAAAATTAAGAAACAGAAGGGACATTCTTATTTTCCCACAATACTTTTTTAGGGTTTGTGCCTAGATTATTGTCCAGGTGTGATTCAAAAAAGTATTTTCTATGTGAAAAAAAAAAAAAAAATTCCTCGGGTCCTTTATCATAGTGCATTTTGATTAGAAGTTTCATTTTGTATGTTATTCTCATTGAAAATAGAACCTTAAAAAGGTTTTTTCACATTTATTGAGATCTCCCAATTATAAAATATATTTAAGGTTTTCTTTTCAATTGAAAGATCATATACTAAATGAAACTTACGGTAAACATAATATGCAATAAAAAAATAATATGAACTACTATTATAAGAAAAGAGAAACACAGTTGGCAATTCTCTCTCTTCACGACTGTGGGTGATTCCGTGCTCTACTGCATGCAAAGTCCTGTTCTTTTTTCCGGTGTCCAACCAGTACGCTCACGATGTTGGGAAGGATGAAGAAAAGGAGGAAGGTGACATCAATAGAAGAGGAACAACCAGCAGAGGAATGAATTCAACTGGTGATTACAAACAATAACTGATCTACTAATGTGGTGGGTAACCCTAATTTGTCTTCGATCTCAATTGCAAGCAAGCTTTAATTCTTGAAGAGATCTGTATCTAGGGCTAATTTAGTTTCGGGAAATTTGGATCCAGCCAAGATGCAGGGCGTGAACCGTAAATTAGAATATATAGAGCTGAAAGCTCAGGATACACAAATAGCCAAAATCCACAAAGAAAGAAATCCAAGAAGTTACTAATTATAGGAGATCTTCGATGATATGTTATGTCATGGGATGAAATCCTCATTTTTTTTTGTGGTTAATGGTTATCTTCGTAGAATTTGGGGGAAATATGGCATTAATAAGGTGCTTTTGATGGAAAACAAGGTGTATGTGGTGACATTCAACTTAGTGTCAACCAAGGAAGACATCCTTAAATCCTCTCCTTCTCCCTCTCCCTCAAACCCTAAAAAAGAAAATTAATCTTCTCCCGTCTTTCTGCCATGGAAGGATGGGAGAAATAATTCTACTCATATTCTTTAGCTTTTTTATTGTGTTTTAATTTAGTTTCATTAAACGGCTTGTAGATTATTATCTACAGTATGGCGGCAACATCTTTATCGATGTTTGCAGGTATGGCGGCAGCATCCTTGTTGATGTTTACTAGTATGGTGGCGGTTTCGTCGGTAATGTATGCAGATACGGTGGCGACAGCTTCATTGAAGGTGTTCGTCGGTTTGGCAGGTATGGTCCAAGAAGATTCAGTCATAGTAGATCTAATTATTATTAGGTATAGAATTTGGGGGTTTCAATCGAAAGTTAGTGTTGTATCCTTGACCGGATTAAAAATCTGGCATGTGGTACAACCATTATTTTATGGGGTAGATCAGTATAGGTTTATCTATGTAACAAAACACAACAATGACATTGTGACTGTTTGTAAGTTGTGTTTTTATGGCTGTATCTTGCTTTTATCAATCGCTGCTAGACGATTTCTAGCAAATTAATGAATTTATCTTTATTTCTCAAAAAAAAAAAAGAAAAAAAGAAAAAGGAGGACATCCTTAGGCAAAGTGTTTTCCATTTTTATGATAGACCCTTGATTGTAAAGGACTCGTCAGTGGAGAGAGGATTTCAGCTTCAAGATGATAAAAAAGTACTTGTGTGGATCCAGTTGCCTAGCTAGCTCCTATTGAAATACTGGAGTGCAAAAACCCTTAGCCGAATTACTAGCACAATAGGAAGGCCAATTGACAATAGGAAGGTCAATTGAAAAATCGGTTGAATTTTTCAGTGAAATTTTACGGTTTCATTCTTTTAAACTGATCCTTGTTTATAAGGGAAAACAAGTCATCTACTATCTTTGTTAATCATAATTATTTCTCTATATGAATTTATTCTACCTGACCTGTAAATTATTTTATTAACATAAATTTAGATGAATAAGCAAAGTCTCTTTTTTTTGAAGTAAAAAAAGTTATTCAAATCTTTCTGATAAAAAAATTCAATCCATAATGATAACTTCAAAGTATTTTGCACATTTGATGTATAAGGTCTAAAATCATAACATAAGTACATGAAAGATTGTGATCATTATTGTAAATTTTGGGAAAATTTAAAACAATTTAGTTCAATTTTTACTTTGAAATTATACGTTATTTAATAGATTGCCTACTTTGAAATAAGATCTTTCCATTTGATAAGTAGAAGAAATATTACAAGTGGCGTCACTACATATTAATTATTTGTTTTGGTTGAGAATAAAGCCAAAACGATTTAAGTGCACCAACTCCTTTCACCGCTACCTTCCCTTGTTCTAAAAAGTTAAATGTTTTGTCACTTTCTACGGTGAATTTTCTATTACTTTGATGTTAAAGAAACTTTCAATTCTCTTAAATCAATCAATAAGTTTATGAGTATCGAATTTGCTTAATTAGTTTAGTTTAGTTTTGCAAGTTTATGTTAATACCTTTGTTTCGCTCGTAGAAATTTATTTCATAAACTAACAACTTAATGTTTCAACAGAATTTCGACTCAATGTCCACAATATCTGAATTTTAAGTCTTGGTTGTTGATCACGGTCGAAACTCTCTTGTTTCAACAAAGAGAATACTTGGAAAATATTCATATCAAGGCATGGTTTAGTTTAATATGAGTAATAAAACTGAATCGTTATTATTTCAATAGAAAATTTAATTATCTTAGTATTGTGATCCAAAACATTTTCACTTGAATATCCAATGCGTTTGTTTTCTCCATAATACCTTTTTTACTCACAAGTTCTATGTCCAAATAGAAAGTGTTAGACGTTTCGGTTTGCATGTTGCTAATGAATTATTCTTGACCTCTTCCTTTTTGTTTCACTTGTTATTATCAATTTGTTTGTAGATTTTCTCACTGGTTTTTATAAGTTCCATCGGTTTGATCTGGTTTTTTTTTTCTTCATTTTGGAAGACTTTGTGTTGTTTATAAGTTCTTTGAACATACTTTGTTTTATTTATGCTTTTTTCGATCGATCAAAATGTTTGATGATTTCTTTTTTCGGTCTCATGCCATGCAATTGATGGATTCCTTTTCCTTTCAGTTTAGATGATTTCAAGTGAGCTTAAACTTAAACTAATGTGTTGAGTGACTTAAAATTCATGTAAAAACAAATCACAAACTTATTGGTTGTGCCTTGTTCAATTAAAAAACATACCTTCAAGGTCTGACATCAAATTCTTGAGTTTCATTTCATGTTTGATCTGGATCAATTTAAAAATACACTATAAATTGTGTTCTTACCTGTTCTCATTTATTTTCTATCTATCAACTATAGAAAACTTTCTGTCACCTGGAATTTAGTTCTTTTTTAAAAAAACGAAAATTTCTTTTGTAAATCGGTTGATTATTTATTCTAAAATTATTTTGATTTAAATAGTTTTGAAGAGCCATTTTAATAGGATTAAAATTTTTGTCACTGGGTAAGGATCAAAAATTGAAGGTCAAAATATCATTTTTGGATATGTTATAAATAACAAACAAATAAGGTAACAAAAATAATTAATCAAATTTATATGTATAACTTTTAATATAAACAGTGAATTTGGAGAAGTAGAAATTCTTTTACTAGTATGATAAATTTTGATGGACAAAACGTATTTTTGGTCCCTGAACTATGGGGGATCACAACTTTTGGTTACCCTTAGTTTTTTACTGACAAAATTAGTCACTACCTTTTTGTTTATTCAATAGTTTTAGTCAATTTAACAGTCAACTAACTGTCAACTCTTTTTTTCCGTTAAACTTTTTATTTTTTTATTAATTTTAATTAAAGATAAGAAATTTCTATTTGTTACCAAATAATTCATTTTTTAGAAACGTTTTTTTTTTTCAAAAACATAAAAGGGGAAGAAAAAAAGTTTGACTAGTTTAGTATTCCCATGTGACCTAAGTAAAAAAAAAAATCGAAGAAAAGATTTATTCCCTTTGGAGTGGTGAGTTAATGGTGTTCAAAATATGTACCTAAAGAGTTTCAACTGCGAATTGCGAAATGTAAGTTCCATTAAATTAGACAACCTTACCTACCTTTAGTTGTTTGAGTTTTCATCTTCACCTCTTTGACCTTCTTTTCTTGACATATACCTCTTTCTCCCTTCTCTTTTTTTTTTTGAATTATTTTCTTTCCTATTTGACTTATAAATTGATTGGCTACCCTCACATATGAAATGTTTACATGAGTGAGTTCGTACGTTG